GGGACGCACCGCCTCGTCCGACTCTCCGGCGACGCCGGAGTCGGCACGCCCTCGTGGAGGGTGTCGGCCGGCACCATTGGTGACGATGAGCGCGGCGAAGACCATGACGATGACGACGACATTTGGAGGCACTTGGCGCCGCCCGAAGATACCGAAGAAGATCACGCCGAGGCAGATTGAGCGGACTCGTTGAGCGGAAACGTGGTCGTGTTGTGACTGGGCCGCGTCGGTTTGCTTTGTAGTCCCGGAGAGCGTGCAGGGCGTGCGTGTCCAATGCAGATTGACAACTCTGTCGGTTTCAGTGTGGTGCCTCTCGCCGCCCCCGGTCTCCCTTTCGTGTTTCGACTTCCACGTTACCCCTCCACATGATGCCTCCTGGCCGTGGCTTGTGGTGGCTCGATGGTGTGCAAATAAGTAAATAAAAACAAGAGCTCCGCCCCCTCTTCCCTGCCTGTTCCTTTTTACCCATCTCCTAGTAGAGGTGTCCGTTTTATTTATTTTCCCTGCCAGGGTCAGGGCACAGGGGGCTCTCTTGGTCTGTCCGTGCCGGCAGGCTCGACCAAGCGTGCCGATGAGTGTCGGACAGCCGATTGGCTCCCCCTGTGTGTGCACACTTCTGCATGTCTGTGCGGTACGTGTGTTTTTGTACATGGTGAAAGAAGTAGCCCTCTCACGACCGGGCGCAGACAGTCGACCGCCGCCGCGCCGCGGCGTATTGGCGTGCCCATGGCCCTCCAGCGCTCTCGCCAATGGAAGCCCGGCCCTCGTGGCTGGTCCGGCCGCTGGAGAGCGGCGCCGAACCGATACATAACAAGCCCCCGGGGGGGCAAAGTGGGCGGGGCCGAAGGCCGGGTTCAAAGTGGCATGGGTCAGGAGTGTGGAGGGGGAGAGGGACGCGAGGGTCGGATGGGTGGGTGGCTGGGGGAGCGGTGGCGTGCGGCCCCGCCCAAGCTACATGACACTGCAGCCGCCCTTTTTCTTCGGCTTCTTGGCGGGCGCCGGCGGGCACAGCACGACGCGAATCGCCTCATCGAACACATTCTTGAGGCCCTGCGCAGAGCGGCGGCGGCGCTGGCGGTCAGGAGCGAGCAAGGACCCTCGCGGGCGGGCGAGGGGGGCGAGGGGGCGGTGCGGCTGGATGCTGGAGACGTGTCGGGTGGGACGTGACTGGCCGTCTTTTCGTGCCCGAGCCCACCAAGCCGCTCGCAGGGGCGTCGGGGGCGCACCTTTTGCGTCAGCGCGGAGCACTCGAGGTACTTTGTCGCGCCGATGGTCTTTGCCATCTCCTGCCCCTCCTCCAGACTGATCGGTGTCTGGTTCTGCTGGCGCAGCTTCGCAACCGTGGTCCCATCAGATCGCAGGTCGAGCTTCGTGCCGACGAGGATGAACGGGCAGTTTGGGCAGTGGTGCTTCAGCTCGGGGAACCACTTCTGTTTCACGTTCTCGTACGAGGGGCGCGAGATGAGGGAGAAGGCGACGAGGAAGACGTCCGTCTGCGGGTACGAGAGCGGTCGCAACCGATCGTAGTCTTCCTGCCCTGCTGTGTCCCACAGCCCAAGGTTGATCGGCTTCCCATCCACCATCACATTCGCGCTGTAGTTGTCGAAGACGGTGGGGATGTAGTCCTCTGGGAAGGCATTCGTGGTGTACGATATGAGTAGGCACGTCTTGCCGACCGCACCGTCTCCCACGATCACGCACTTGACGTTCGTCATCATGGCCGCCATGGCGGCGCCGGCCGACCCGAGCCGCCTTCTTGTGCTCGACCGAAAGGAGGGTTTTCGGCCGTCCCTTTTGGGTTTTTTTCTCTGTTTCAGCTGTTCGCGTTCACATAAACGCACAACCCCGGGCCCGAAATCGCAGAGAGACAGTCACGCAACACGGGGTCCAGGGAAGGCGAGCAAAAACCTTATCGCGCGCGCTAGCCGCCGACTCGGAGGCTGCACCGACCGGTCAGGCGCGCAGCCGGAGAGAGAGGGAGGCGCTCAACGTTCACCCTTACCGCGTTGGTGTCCAGTCCGAGCCTGGCTGTTCTTCACCTTTCTACCTACCTACCTAGCTGTTCTTCACCTTCCTACATACATACACACCCGCTGAATGAAGTAAACTCCACACACTGCACAATTCAATTTGGGGGGGGTTTACGACGGTTTTGGGGATCCTGCCGACGCGCTACAGTTGTAGCCCCACTGCACATAAGATGGACACCTCAACGGGAGGGCACTCGCAGCAGGCGGGGCCGAATCCTGCAGCCTTAGTCTTGGCCCGATCCGGCGGCATGCCACGGGTAGGCGCGTTGAGGCTTGCCGCCTCCTCTGCGCCAACGCGGCTTGTGCCGCAGGTTGCGTTTGCTGCCAGACAAGAGGAGGAGCAGGGCCTTTTGGCGATAGGACCAGGCAATCGTATTCGCCCGGCGGGCGTTACGGATTCGAGCAACACCCAGGTCGAGGTTGCTGCGCCTCTCGGTGCAGTGCTGCAGCATCGCACGCCTGTTGCGGGCGATGGAGCATCGACGTTAGCCGGAATCCTGGCTGTTCCGGATGCGGGTCCGGCGGCATTTGCAGCGGCGTCTTTGCAGCTGCGAGCGCAGCGCGGTCAGAGACCGTCGGCCGCCGAATGGCGCACAATGCCGCAGCTGCGGCTGGAGTGGTGGCTGTGTCGGCATTGCAGAGACGCTGTCAACCACAACTCGGCCACTACCTGCAGCAGATGTGCGTCGAGCGTCAGGGAGATGACGCCATATGCAAGTCCAGCCGAGGTCGCAGCCCTCTCAGCCAACGCACAGCGCACCGCGTATGGTCGGAGACTCAAGAGTGTGCAGGGACGAGAGCAGCCTGTCGCTCTGGCTGTTGCGCAGACGCCGGGCAGCGCCGGCTACGCCAGCGCTGTTCTTGCCCAGATTGCGAGCTTTCAGCCTGGGTCGAAGCGGCTGGAGGCGATGGTGGAGTCTGGTGTTTGCCTTTTTGACGGATGGCTCGCCCTCACGACTGACGGGTCTGTCAGATTTTGGACGCGCGACGATGTGCGGGCATTCTTTGCGCGCGGCGAGGGAGAGGCTCTCATCGCCGAGTACATTCTCTCGTGGGGAAGGCGTGTCGACATTGGCGTTGAGGGGCAGCCACTAGTGGTTCAGGCGGCGTCGACATTGGCGTTGAGGGGCAGCCACTAACTAGTGGTTCAGGCGGCGCCGAAGGGCGGGTGGTGGATGCGTACTCTCTCCTTCGAGCTTCGTCAACGAGCGGCACATCCACATTGTCCGCGCGCTGCTAGCACTTGTGCCGGACGGAGCGCAAGACGGGTTCCAGTGGGAGAAGCGCGTGCTGCGTGGTCGCCAGCCTTTGCAAGGTGGCAGGGTCGGTGGCGACGTCACGCCCCTGCAGATAGATCTTTATGGTGGTTTCAAGTTGGGGGGGGGGGGGGGGACAGCTTTGGGCGGTCGAATTCAATTTTGGGGGGTTTACGACGGTTTTGGGGATCCTGCCGACGCGCTACAGTTGTAGCCCCACTGCCCTGTTCACGCGCGCGCGAACGCGCGCGCGAGACGTGCAGACAGGGTTGCCAGGTGAGAGCGAATGGCGCGGTTCACGCCTCGCACAACAGAGAGAGAGATGCGCTCTGGCCATGGTGGGACATAAAAGAAAGCGAGTACTTGGGCGAGTAGGCCGCGCGGTCAACGCTGCCGCGCGCAACTTTGCGCGCGAGGCGGCGCAGCTTGAGAACGGCGGGTGGGCGAGAAGCCGCCGCCGAACGTCTCGACTCTCGTGGAGCAGCAGGTTGAAGTTGTTGCGCTTGACAAAGATCGCGTCGCGGTAGAAACCGCGATGCGCCTTGACGTAGCCCTGTTCACGCGCGCGCGAGACGTGCAGACAGGTGAGAGCGAATGGCGCGGTAAAAATCTCTCTCACACACCTAACACATATACCAAAACAACAACTCTCTCTCTCATATACCCATTCGCCGACCACCACACTGAGATGAGACACACTGTATAGGTGCGAGAATACGAATTCGATGGCCCGCTCCAAGCTCGGCGACAAGGCGCCGCCCTCCCTTTGGATGGAGGCGATGGCTCCGTCGCATCATGGAGGTGGCACAGGAGGACGGCCGGCGGTGATTTTCTTTTTTATTATGCCAAAAAATTAAAAAGGCGACGGACGCTTGCATCCTAGCTCCAACAACGCCTCCCCGGCGCAGAGGGGCCCCCGGAGGGATGCTCAATCGCTCCACGCCATGCACACCGCTTGCAGCGGTCCTATTCCTGTCCTATTCCCGCGCTCGGGGCCATTTCTTACTCAGGCGCCCGCCCACCCCGCCGGAGCAGCCCGTCGCCGCAAGGCCGCTCGATTTGGCCGCCTTCCCCGGAGCGGCCGCACACTGCTCGGTACCCCCCCTGCACAACTCTAAGCTCATGGCCGACCCCCCCCCCCCCCCCCTGTGAGATAAGATATGTTCCTCTTC